ATACATATTTCAGATGATAAGCCATATTAGAGGTCGATGAATGTTAGGTGAGCATATGGATGTCCTGCCTGATGTACTATATTATGACAAAGACCAGCCGTTAACGATTTGTCCGTCACTGACTGCGTGATTTCGGAATTTTTTTTTTCTTCGACTAAGCGACTAATACAATTTCGGTAATATGCATATAAACAGCCTTTTAATTAGCAGAGTAGAATAATCATGGCTGATAGTAAGACATGCAAACATAAAAGAAAACCAAACTGGACGCGAGAACAGCTAGGCTATATATTAAGGATATAATCAAAAAATTGGAGTTGGGATAACCTCCAAACCAAAGCCGATACCTTTTTAAAAGCTCATTATTTTCAAATGTTTCTAAACTGTTCATATTCCGATGTAGATTGCTGGCAACAGCCATTTTAGGATAGTTCAGATTTGGTCTTAGTGACTTAGGAGTCCTCTTCACTGCTCCTAACGTTTCACAGATTTAGGAGCTAATTTTAGCGCTGAAACGCTTTGTGAAATACTCTTAGAACACAAATTTAGGAATCCTACATTTAGGACTGACACGCCCATTATTTTTAAGATTTTCTCCTAAATCGGCGAGTTATGAGCTACTTTTAGCCTTAAGATGTTTTGTGAATACGGGCACAGAACTGACTGCTCATTCTATGAAGTATTACAGTGTGTGATTTGATTACATAATTTGATAATGTGATTCAATATGCTTCAGTGGTTTCATAATAAAATAATTTAAGTACACAGTATTGTACCTCTGACCTTTTTCGACAGTTGTATGTTTGTGTGTATTTATGTTTTGAATGTAAAAAAATATATATTTTTGATATGCTTTAAAAAAAAGGCTTTAGAAAAATTAAATTTCAATGTAAAATGTAAAAAAAAATAATTTGATGCTTATTGTTACAATTAACATTAAATACACAATCTTAATTATGTCTCAGATATTATTTATATTTCTTTGTCAAAGAAAAGCAAATGCAAGGCATTCAGCTTTTTGGATTTATCTTTGTCAATTTGAAAGGCAATGTATTTGTTTACATTTTTTGTATTTTAAATAAATACACTGATGATAGTGTAACATCGAATAACATAGATAATGATAAATTTCGCAGGGATACCTGGGATTTTTTTTCTCTCACTAAATATGGATAATTTTGAATAATTTTTACTTATTCTTACTAACTTTGACTTTTTATTAATCAAAGAATCCTGAAAAAAAAAAAAAGATCTTGATTCATGTGACGCTAAAGACTGGAGTAATGGCTGATGAAAATTCAGCTTTGCATCAC